CGATAAGCAGTTATGCTGCTGAAGTGATGGACATTCATGTCTATGCTCAGAGCAACAGTGAAACCCTCAGGAGTCCAGGAAGAAGGTGAGGTGTGAATCTCCATCTGTGCTTACCTGCTCACTGGATGACTTGTTTGCCACCCCAGTTAAATCCACTGGGTTCACCAAAGAGCTCCAGACTATGGGTATCTGCCCTTAAACTAGCTCGTCTTGCACTTGCAAATATTATGTCCATTTTTTCAGCTTCACAAATTTCATCAGCATGGATAAATGCGAGCAACCTAAGAGTTGCATGCACACAGCATGAAACAAACTTTTGTATTAAATATGTGAGAAAATGAAATGACTCTTCAAGCTCCACTACAATCCAAATACCTTTAACACAAAAATACGCTCAGACCAGCACAGATGACAAAAGCTGAACCAGGGACTAGTTTAGGCTTAGATTTAAAAGGCTTTAATGTTCTTAAAATAATGATCAATCAGTTCTCCAGCAAAGACAAGAACACTGAAGGTCTGTTTATTGCTTCCTTTGTCTGCAACAGTCTCGTAAAGACTTCAAACTGTAATTTTTGGCATGACTATGTCAGAGAAAATCCCACAAGCAGACACAAAAATAAGAGACAGTCATGCCTTTCCCTTTTATTAGCACTGCGCCTCACCCACTTGGTTATTCACATATCCAACAGCGAGAACTAGGAAGCCCATCTCAGCTGGCTCTTATCTTTTGTAATGGCAAATTGCGGTGCCTCTCAGCTACAATAAATTATGTCGGTTTTTCTTTTCAAGAAGGTACCTTGAAGATTGAAGTAAAAAATAATGGATAGTCTAAGCAAGCCCCAGATGTAAAGCAAAAAAGGCAACAAAATTTTACTTTGCTTTAGCTTCATGCTGATGTCATTCTTGTGACTTCACTACAATTACTGGACATTTGCACCATATGAGAGCAGAATCTATCTCCCAAGGACAGGTTTTGTTGTAGCAAACTGGTTTTATTCCAGGAATCCGATCTATAAAGACAGTCCCTCGATATATTTACACATCTATAAACAAGTCAGAACATTTTTCTGAGGAGTGACTTGCAGCCAGCAAAAACACAGCCCTAGGCCCGTGCTGAAGTGGGTAGGATTTAAAAAATTTCTGCAGCAGTTAGTGGTTAGGCACATAAAAACACTCCACCCTCCTGCCTCAGGCAAGAGAGAATATGCAGACAGTGCAGAGTGTACTTCATGCGTCAGGATACATCATTTGGCTTTAAACCAGATCAACAGATTTCAGAAAAATAAGAGAAGGGGGTAACACATATTTGCCTTAAGACTTAGAATGTAGACTGAAGACTTAGATGTTGACTAACATCTTAGTTACCCGTTGGCAATATTTAGGGAGAAAAGGCCTGGGTGTTGTGCCCAGCAAGCTGTTAAATGGAAGTTTTGTAGTGCTCCTGGCACTCGAAGAAAAGAACCCCTAAAGGTCAAACTGGAGTCTCTAAACCCAAAGTCAGTATCTTTTACTATTACTTTTCACTTTGGCTTTGCTACTACAGATGATGCCCATAGGGGAATAAAATATGTTCTTGTCCTGTCAGTGCTGATGTGTTAGCCCTAGCACTCTTCTGGTAATATAAGATTAATGAAAGGGATGATACATTGAGAGTATCTTTCAATTGTGCAGACAAACTGGTGTAAACTGAAAAAAAAATAAAATCCAATCACTAAAATGTCACCACAGAAACACCAAAGAAAATAAGACCAGGAAGCACATTTTCCTTCTTGGTCCTTGGGGAACCAAGTTTCTCTGAAGGGAAGCAATATGTTCAGCAAATAGAGCTCAGTAATTTTATTACCCAGTGCACAATTTCCTATGTTTGTTTTTTTTTTTTTTTTTTTCAAACTATTCTGATCACAAAAGGAATTAAAAAAAATATCAAACAATAGCATTATAGTGCTTAATAAAGACTGTATCGCAATGAACTTGCTAACTGTGTGCACGTACCACTGAGCTTAACTGAATAGTATGAGAAACACCCTACAGAGTGCCATAAACATGCCAGTATCAATAACACATGGATAATCTCTTTTCCTCAAAGGGAACAGATGTGCACTTTTTCAGAGAAAGGTTTTAGTCTGACTCCTGTTTGCCATCATTAAGTTGTGGATAACATAATATCCATCACTACTGGCCTTCTGCAATAAAAGTACTGGATAGTCACTGGATAGTGACTGATGACACTACTTCCCATAGGGGCCTCCTGCCAGATCTTTGACAAGTCATGTTTTTGCAGTATTATGTGTAAACACCAAGTAAACCCATAGGTAAATGTGGTAAACATAGCTAAATGCTTAATACCAACACAAAACATTATCTCTTCCTAGAGTGATTACCCATCAGTGAATACTGATGATAATATTTTATTTTCTTTATGTGTAGTACATTAAACTCATAAACCCAACGTGTGAAACTGTTTTTCTATAGTCACAGTCTCAAGCAGACTGTAATCCTCACTTAGGGTAGGGCATGTGGGCGTTGCTCTAATAAAGTAGCAGTGATAATGCACAGAATGACTTTTTCACGTGTTATGTTCCTGTAAAATCTTACTGGAATCTCAGCTGGCAAATGATCTAAAATCTCAAACTTTCTGTTCTTGTGCAACTCAACTGTTAACATGTCCGTGCAACAGAGCATGAGTAATTTAAAGCAGGGACCATCCTTGAGACAGAAGGAAATACGTTGTGAACTTGGAGACATGCCATCTAAAAACTCCAGCACATTTGAGATCCAACCGACTTAATAAATTTGCAGCAGAAGTTCTATTAGCACTTTTACTGTTGCACTCAGGAGTCCATTTTTAACATATTAAAAACTTAAAATATTTATGACATTAAATTATCTTGCAGGTATTAAAAATTTTTAAAAGGGGCAGGTTTAAATAATGCCTCCAAACTGCCTCAACAGTTGAGGTATCGTGTGAGTTTTTTGCTAGATGGTTACAAATGATCACACAGTCACACAGATACATTTGCTACTGAGAATGTTATTTCCAAATAGATTTCACCCATAGATAGTCAACTCCTATACAAGGAGTAACCTAAAGGCCCCCAGTTCTCAGATTTCCCAAAGTGACTCATTCAAAATGGGCTTTGAGTGCTTGGACACTTTTTTACTATAGGAGAGAAAAAAGTTTGCTATCATCCCTGTGAAACTCTATTTGAAGCGAGTGAATCTACATATACTTATGGCCAAAAGCACAGCAACTGCTAACATACTATCACACCTACACTCAGTGCTTGCTCACCTTTCAGTGCAAGAGTGTGTCTTGTCCCAGTACAGATCAGTTACACAAGGTGAAGAGAACATGTCATCTTTGGTTGTGAGTAGGAACCAGGCAGGATATTAATACATTTCTGCCATGCAAATTAAGGGTGTGATCTAGTAGGAGCATGTGGGTGCATGTATTCCACGTGCAACACTCAGCACAGCTGCTTGAGGCCTTGATGCACAGCATGTAGCAGTTTTGCTGTGGGCAGCACTGGAGGAACCACTGATAGACCATCCCTGTGGGTTGGGACCTATCGCTGTTATGGCTTCTGCAGCTCATTTTCAGTCCTGACAGTTACACTGGAAAAGCCTTTTATACAAATCAGTTTTGACAAACAAAAATCCACATGGGAAAACGAGGTCTGCAGCATGGAAAGGAAGTTTTCTGATAAAGATTCCAAAATCACACTTGCTTCAGCAGCGCCTTTGAACATCAGGGCACTCTAATACTGCTTTGAACTGTATGATAATTACAGCTGGGGCTGCTCCTTATCACAATCATTATCTAGCTGCCTGTTTTTAAAGTTTTTTTCATTTTCAGTTCTTTCTCCTTCCCTCACAAGCAAGACAGAGTGCTGTTCAGAATTCACTTCTCCCCGTGGGTTCCTCAGGTACAGTTTTTCCCCTGCTGTGAAGAGATGGTGCCTGAGGGAGAGGCGATGGGTGGCTTGAGGTGCAGAGTTGTGGTTCCCTCGGCTACCCCGAAGGGCGGGCTACCCCGAAGGGCGGGCTACCCCGAAGGGCTGTGCCGGAGCCTGCCCTGCCACTCGTGGTGGGGAGCCTGGAGCCTGCTCCGCGGCACAGGGACACGTGCAGTGAGATGGTGCCCGGCCTTAGGCAGGTCCCCAGCCATGGGGCAGCAGGCCCATGCTGGCCGAAGGCACGCTACGCAGCCTCACACGCCCGGCTGCACTATAAGCGCACACGAGGCTCCTGGGGCTAGGCGCAGCAGCCCGGCTCCGTCCAGCGCCTTTGCGGCAGTGCCGGCCCGCCCCGTATTTACCTCCCGCCCGGCCACCTCCCCGCCTTCCCTCCTGCGCATGCGCAAAGCGAACGGCGCCGACGCGGGCGCACTGCGGGCGCTCCGCTGGCCCCGCCCCTTTCCCCGGAAGCGGGAGATTGAAGCGCTGGGGCCGGTGAGGCGCGGGCGGCCCGGACAGGGTTCTGCTCGGCTCATTCCATGAGGGCGGTGGGTGCTCCCTGCGGCTCAGTGGTGCTGGGATGGGGACGGAGGGGAGGAGAGGGTCCCTCAGGGCTGCCTCCTTCCCTGACCCTCACCCTGGGGCCTGGCTCCTAGAGGCGGGCGGGGCCTTGTTAGGGCTGGGGGCCTCCGCTCACCCACGGCGTGGGAGCAGCCTCTGGCTTGGGCTGTAGTTGCGCTGCGGGTCTCTGCTGTGCTGTTTCTGGGGTGCCTCTTGGCTCTCCACGGTGCAGCACCTCAGAAAGAGCTCTCTGGTTCTGTAGCTCTGCTTAGGAGCTGCTCAGCCTTCTTTCTGCTTCTCTGTAGGGTGGAAAAGTAACCAGGGGAAAGTTGGAGTGTTAACAGAGCCTTCGGTTCGTGAGAGGAGAATGTAAAAGGTGTGAGTGCTGTTACATAATGTAGCGATAAGCAGGCAAACTGAGGCATGTAGCATCAGAGACTTACCCAAAGAGCAAAACAGAGTAAGTACTGAAGTGCAAAATTATCTTTTCACCTCCTGGCCCAAGTTTTCCTTACTTGCTGGACAGAATTATTCTTCAATAATCACTGCTTGAAAATGTAAAGAATTTTTTGGCTGAGATCTTGGGGAAGGATTTTAAGAGTGCAGATCTATATGAATGTGCTGCTAGAGTTCAACAGTATTTAGTGAACCGTTGGAAAAAGTATTTATTGTAGTCGTGGTCATTTGATGACAAATAATCTGCATTAGAATGTAAAGGCAGAAAGTCACAGGATTTTTTTTTTTAAAGTTGAAGAAGTCTGTTGAAGCTAGCTCTTAGGCTTTGAATAATTTTGCTGCTTAGTAAGATTTATTACATATCTGTGACATACTGTATACATAGGCATGATGTCGCTTTTTCCAGGCTCCTGTTTACATTAAGAAATAATAGTGATAACTTGCGTTATATTTAATGGATGCTGTGGGCTTCCTGTTTAATTGATAGATTGCTAAAATACCCAATTAACTAGACTTTCTTTACTAAAGTCTGTTTGTTTTGTTTTTTTAATAGAACACAATGTTGAATTTTGAACAACGGGGGGGAACGCTGACTTGTAAAATAAATGAGGATCTGTGTCCTTTGGTATAGAGCCAGGAAGACCACGGTTGCTGGGTTTGTAAAACTGTCATATTGAAGCTTTGCTGTGTTTCATCTCTGAAGAGGAAGCCCCTTGTGCCAGTCTTGTGTTGCCTAGTGACTTGTTTGCAGGTTTTTATTTTTAAGAGGCTTCTGTTTTGAAACTCCTAATTGTAATTTGCAGGTAAAAGAAGGTGTAGCGGAAGGTGTAGCTGAAGGTGATGACTTTCCAGTTGCATTTTGGTCATTAGCAGGTGCTTCACAATTGTTACGCTAAGTTAAATATCACCAGATCAGTCTGAAGTTGATACATGCTGGGAGGTATGATTTATCATTTTAATTAAGAAGCTTTTCTGAGTGAACTGGGGATGTTTACTTTTAATCCAAAATTTTACTTGTGTGAGTAATTTCATTTTTAAGCAGCATGCACAGAAGGATCAAATGAGAGTGGATTCTTTTCACAGATCTAGGTACTAAATTACTTTGTTTTATAGAAAAAAAATGTTTATACATATAAAAATCTTGTGGCTCCCAACAATCCTTTTATCGCTACTTGGGATGCAGTTAAACTAAAGGACTGGTTCTTCACAACCTGGTCTAGTAAGGATTATTCCTTTGAGTTAGAAAGCAGTGAGGGTCATTTAGGTTAAGAAAATACAGTTTGTTTGGATTGAGTATTTTTAATGAGTTTGTTGCAGGATCTGGATTTATAGGCATACTATAACGGGTTTGATTGCTTCATAAGTTGTCCGACTCCTTTTTTAACACTTGAAAGGATATCGGATAGAAAAAAATATAATGGGGAATACCTCCTAAGACTTTCAATAATATTATCCTTTAAAGAAAAAATTCTGTAGAGCTTTGAATGAGGGAGAAATAATATCCAAAATTCAAAGCAAGATACTTTGTGTCAGTTAGTAGTGTGAGAAGAAAAGTCGTTTACAAAGCAAGATGCTACTTAGCACATGAAACTGTAACTTTTGCAGATGTCTTTTTTTGAATTTACCAATTAGAAAATAAGCCTTAGTATTTCTTATGAGAGCTTTTTACTCCCTTCTGCAGCCACATGGCTCATTAAAACCAGGTGAAAATCGTATCATACATAATTCATTCTGTCTTTTAACAGAAACAGCTATCCGTCTTGAGATGGAAGAATCAGTGCTTGATAAATTGCCATCTTTATGCCATACTCCAAAGGATTCTGGGACAGCAGCTCCACAGGGGACTAGTTCAGGGAAACAGGTATGAAAACTTATTTGTTTTTCCAATAATGTGACTCTTCATAATAACAAAAATGCTTGTGAAATCATCAAGTAGTCTGAAGTCACTGAGATACTGTTTGCTGGAAGGCTACAGATAGGTAGCTTATACCCATAGCTACAAGGTTGTCCAGATAAGGAATGTGCTTGGTATATTTTGCTCTGAATATGCATATGTTTGCTGTGAATACAAAATGATGGAGCAGTATAACCCAAATGCCATACTAATAAATTTAAATCCTATTTAGGGTTTGTGGTGGATTTAGGTGATACTTGTTTTTTTTTCTAATCTGTCATCTTCGGTTTTCTCAGATCTTAGTGTTCTGGGTTGCTGTGTATGCAGAATGACTTTCTGTGACTTCTGCTTGCACTTGAACAAAGTACACTGCTTTCAGTTTGAGTGTTCTCTGTAGTGCTGAGCTCCACTTCAGTGTTCATCCTAGCATGTGTTTTGGAGATGCTGTCATGCTCAGCATATGATCATATAATACCAGGGTTGGAAGGGACCACAAGTATCACCTGGTCCAACGTTTCTGGCAGAAGCGTGGTCTAGACAAGGCATCCCAGCACTCTGTCCAGCTGAATCTTAAAAGTGTCCAGTGTTGAGAAATCACCAATTCCCTGGGGAGATTATTCCAGTGGCTGATTGTACTCATTGTGAAAATTTTTCTTATTGTGTCCAATCGAACTCTCCCCACGAGTAACTTGTACCTGTTACCCCTTATCTTTTCCATTCCATGTGACTCCTTGTAAAAAGGGAGTCTCCATCTTCTTTGTAGCCACCCTTTAAATACTGGAACATCTGTACCTATGCAGGATAGGGCTAGCTTGCAAGTGTTCCTTAACTAATCCCTCTCTCCCATATTTTAGTATATTTTCACAGGTAAAAATGTTAGACACAGATTATAAAAAAATAAATGTTAACTTATTTTGAAGAAAAAAAAAATCGCTTTCTAGATGCTTATCAGTGAAGGATCTCGAAGCATGAACAAGTCAAAATTGTATGTGTCATTTCTAATACTCCCAAGTAGAATACAGGTGCTTTATACTAGTGCTAATACAAAAAGTGTATGTGTGGTGGGATGGAACAGTAAAAAAACCCAACCCTTATCTCCATTAAACTAGAGGGAAAAATTGAACTTGGTATGAAATTAGCCAGGATGAAATACGCTGTATATCTTCTGCATAAAGACTAGAGGAGTACGTTTGCCTCAGCAGAATACAGGATTTGCTCCTAGAAAATGTGCATTTTTTTGTATCTTGCAGCTGTGTGTGCGAATACAGGTGAAAGGAAGAAGTTAACTTAGAGTTTGTGAAAGCTATAGAGAGAATTAAGTCTGGCTTTACAGTGATCCTTATATATGTGACATTCTAGGTAAATAATAACTAGGGTAAACAGTTCTTTGAAATATGATCAAAAAATCACATTATTCTGATCCTTCTGTTTTTTGGGGGGTTTGTTTTGGTTTTTTATTAGCCAATGAGTGCAGCTCTGAGGGAGCGATTAAGGAAAACAAGACGTTCGTTTCATGCTAATTTTACAGTGGCAAAGCGCCTCAAAATAGACACTGAAGAAAAAGACTGTGCTGATGCTGACAAAGGGTGCCTGCTAAAGACAAGTACAGATTATTCCAGATTACAAGATGGTTCTGAAAATCTGGAAAGAAACGGCACTGGACGAGCATGTTTGAAAAGTCCCTTACAGGAGAGTGGTCTCTGTGGATCAGCAGAGAATTCTGATGTGCTGCAGGTTGACCTTAGTCAGCAACAGTCCCTGGAAGAAAAAGTAAGGCTGGTGAAACAAGTGCAAGAGAAGGAAGAACTACTTCGAAGGCTCAAACTGGTTAAAATGTATCGGTCCAAGGTGAGGCAAAACTCTGAAAAAGCACGTTTAAGTCATCCTTTGACATGGAATTCATAGTGTAATCCTCAGTTATTAATTTAAGCAACGATATTGACTCACTTTTTTTTTTTTTAATGTGTGGTGTTTGTGTCTCAGTTTTAAGGCGTTTTATAAAACAGATCTACAGGGTATCAAAACCCACCACATTTCAGCAATTGACAAAATTTGTTTTGTTTTGTCCCAATTTCAGAACAACCTGTCCGAACTGCAGGCTTTGATAATGAAATGGAGAAGTAGTACACAGCTGATGCTTTATGAACTGCAGTCGGCCTTTTCCGCTGATGGCAAGAAAGTGAGTCTTACTCAGCTGATGGATACTTTCGGGTTAGAAGACCAGTTATTGCACTACAGCAGAGCAGAAGAAGATTTTGTAGATGGATAATCTACAGGTGAAAAGTCTTCAATTATACAAGCAGAAAAGACTGACTGAATTCTGATCACACAAGAAGTGTCGATCAGACAGTGGACTTTGTGTTGAGGTTAGGAGGTTTTCTCAGGAGATACTGTAAAGCTATGTACTTAGATACAGAGGGCGCTGTAAAAGGCATTACCTAATGGAAAAGATTGAACTCGTGCTGGTTTGGAAAACCTGGCTTAACTTGATCAGTGAATTGTTATTTAATAAAAATATAACAGGTAGAAGGCAGTCCATTTTTTGATTAGTCTTTGCAAGGTGACTTGTCTTGAAGTAATGAACTCAAATAGCTTGTTATTTCTGTTGATGGTCAGAGGGGGAAGAGTTCAGTTCTTTGTTCAGATACATCCCCATTTTACAAATGTTTTCCTGCTGCCAGTCAGTTAATGACAGCATTTTGCCAATTAAGTAAAGATAACTAATTTTCATATTGTTAACATTCTGAAGCTGCAATGAGATGTTCTCAATAGCTTTAATTATTACTGAGGGAAATGGGCCATAATGCAGTCATTTTCAGCTACTAGTCCACACAGTTGTCTTCAGGGAAGCTGTCTCAAGCATTCTGACACAGCCTGAGGGAAGGGAAGGCAAGAAAATTGCAGCCAACATCTGTCTGCTACTTCATGTGAAAGCCAAGTTTTTTCTCTCTTCAAATAAATAAGAAAAACAAGGCCTTGTCTAATGAGAGTGCTTCAAATATAGCATCATAAAGCTGAATAAAACTGCACCATTTCATTTATTCTCCAATAAATGTTCTCTTTTCAAAGTTTTTTTTTAATCTGAACTTGAAATTGCCTATTTTCTTATCCTGGCCTATGCATATAGTGTGGTGAATTCTTTCTGCTTTTATTCTCCTTAAAATCACTGCTGTCAAGTGTAACCATACATTAATCTTAACTACTCTACAACTCTCCCTGCTGTAAGTATTGTTTTATATGCAATCACATTCCTTATTGGTTGTACCTTAATTGTTTTGTTTACAGGTAGCATTTCCCGTTTCCTTCATAAGGGAGTAATTGCTTACATATCTCAGGGGGGAAAAAATCAAAGATTGTACAGATCCTTTTAACATTGATAGGGCTCATTAGACTTGAATCTGTACCCACAATTTTCTCTTAAGAATACTGATTGTTGCTGTCCACAGAATTAATGAAGAACAACCTTTATTGCTAATCCCATGTTGAGTATTAAGACACTTAATTCTTCTGCCACTTTGGGCTAGTAAAAAAAGATGATAGTGCCTGGTGAAGGGGGTGGCTCTTTTCCCTGAGATCCTTGGCAAATTTGGAATTCTGCTGCTTCTAGGGAAGTTTCAGCAGGAAGAAAAAAGTCTTGCAAGAAGAATGGAGGTGTAATTAGAATTCTTACAGACCCCAGTTAGAGATGGTAAAGCAAAAAAAGAAGTGGTGTTCAAGAAGTTGTTTTCCTTAAAAGTGTAGAGTTTTGTTAAATGAAGGTATCAAAGCTAGTAATGCTCTTATAATGGAATGAGTTTAGGTTTTATGTGAATTTATGGAAGGAGGAAAAGAATCGATACATACCATGCAAGAGGGAAATAAAAGTCCTTGAGAATGCTTGAGTAAGTAGATTAGGCTCCAGCAGTAGTTAATTTTATCAAGGGTTCTTGGAGAGATCTGGTGGGAGATCAATGTGAGGGGGTGGGAGATAGCAGCAACTGTTTCAGGAGGCCAGGTGCTTCCAAACCTGTTTTTTCTGTAATTCTGGCAGTGGCAGCAGCCACAGCTACTGGTGGCTGTGGGTCATTATGCTATCAGCAGCAGCAGCTTTCAGGACTGAGCCAGACAGCACACATGGTCATGCTGAAGCATATCTTCATCTTCTCAGCAACCTCCACCTGTGCCTTCACAGGTGTAAATATATTTAAAATAGCAAAATAAAGTAAAAGCTGCAGACATGAATTTTAGCAGATACAAACTCAGATTTCTTGTAGTACTTCACCTTCAAAATGTTCTACAACTGCATACTGCAGCCTAAGGCTATGCAAATATGTTCTACCGATCTAGTTTCTTGTACCCTTTGTTTTCTGTAATAAGCTATATGGTTTATATAATCAAACCAGCAGAAATAAATCTCATGAACTGAACCATGACAGGGATGACTAGGTATAAAATGTACAAAACAGACAAACACGCATATTTCAAACAAGTTATTTTTAAAGAAATTATGGAAGAAATAATTTGTGGAAAGAAAAGTTCAGTGAGAGATGGTAGATGTTCAAGCTCTTTTTCTTAGACCAGTCCATAGTATTTTACATCTACCTGAACTCTGCTTTTTAAAGAGCAGGGAATGTTCGTGATCTCAGTCTTTCAACTTCTGCCTGAAGAACTTCAAACTCTTCTTCCTGTTCCCTTACACAGCGCCGCAGGTGTTTCTGTTTCAGAATCTCTCTGTAACGCTGCTTCACTATCTTTTCAGAAATGTGCTGTGTGTCTGCATAAAATATAAGAGTTAGCTTGTCCTTGTAGCGGATGCACAGTCTATATTGGACCTGTCCTGGGGTTATTCCAAGTTCTGTATAAAATAGGCAAGCATTTTAAAAAAGGCTCACAGTTGCGTTTAGGAGTCTTTATAGTACTGAATAAAGAAAAAAATTTCAAAAACACCCTGGGACCTCTTCCTTTAGTTTCTAGCAAGTACCCACTATTTTGAAAAATCTTTAACTGTTTTACTAGTGGTAAGTTCTCTACAGTTTTCCTAATAGCAAATACGCTTCTCAACTTCATGTTACTTCCTGTTCCCTTGGTTGGGTGAAAGAAGTGAGTTGAACAGTTTTGAGAAACAATGAAAGCATATTGCATAATGAAGGTATTAATGACTGTAATATTTTGGTTAAATAGCTTCAGCAATTGTGTCAATTAACTGGTTATAAGACCAACAATCTCTAGGTACGCTTCTAAGTAAACAATGTCAAACAGTTGTGCTAGAAAGGGCACTGCTAATTGTGCACATACAGTAATAAATAGGTGCCCCTTGGGTGATGCTGATGGAGAACAGGACTGTTTAGTCTTGGAGATATTTCCTGAATATTCTTTGCTTGTGACTTAAAGTGCATTACTGTGACTCACCGGCTGCCTCAAATATATGCCTCTTTTCTGAAACAGAGACAAGCATTTCTTTCAGCTCCAGGCTGAGCTTGTAGTTTGCTTGTTCTTTTAACCTGATGGACTTCTCCAACTCTTTAATTCTTTTCTGACGGTTCTTCACATTCTTCTCATGCAGCTGTGCATTTCCAAATGAATAAAGTAAATATATGAGATTATACAAAAGCTGTTCACACAAACTTACGATGGAAACCAATAAGCACTGCACTGTAGCTCAGTAAACTTTCATGTCATTTGATTTAACTAGTAGCACATGCTTTTCTTTGTGTGGTGTCTTTCACAGGCACTGTATTCCAGTATGCTTTATGGAATTCTAACATAAGTATCAGACAAGGAGCAAAGAGGTGTGGGTCAGGGAGAGAGATATATTAAAGATAAAACGAAAGGCAAAGGGAGGAAAGGAAATCAATGGAATCAGTGCTGAGAACACTCTTGGCTGCTAGGAGCTGCTGAAGAAAGGGTTGTGCAGAAGCTGGGGGGGGGGAGCTGTAAAGGGACAGGATAAATATTAAAGCTTGAAGGGGAAGAGGAGGCTGATGCTAGCTAGAGCAACCTGGAGAAAGTCCAGTGGTATCACTTAAAAACAAGGATAATCATTTGAATGTTAATAAATGAGGGAGCCAGCAAATCAGACTGTTGTGTGTCTGTTATTTTGAACGTAGGGGGGTAGTGATATTATGAACAGGCTGGTGCTCCTGGAGAGAAACATTAAGCAGTGAAGTCTGAAAGGATGCTTCATTAGAAATGGAAGAGTGACTTTTATAGGCAATGCTGTGTAAGAAGTGATAAGCAGATCTGCGTTCAGATGTTCAGGAAGGAAAGTATTCAATTCCAGCAATAGAGCAACTAGATTTCTCTCTGTAGGCTTGATCTATGCAGCAATCCATGCATGATGACTGCTTCCAAAGACTTTACTGCTTTAGACAGCTCAGTGCAAGTTGAAGAAACTATTGAAAGCCAGATGAATAAATAAATGGATATTCATCTGTGTGTGCTGTTATGGCTGTGCTCCAACAGTCCTTGAGTTAGCATGCCTCTATCAGTTGCACTTATTCCTTAAAACACCTCTTGCCAGTGAAGGAGAGGAGTTGCATTTAAACTAAGGATGTCTCTCTCAGATGTGGTGGTTCACTTAGGATTTACCTTATCCATGAGGCCAAGAGTCTGCTCCATCACTGAAATGTGGTGGGCGATGTGGCTGTCGTGGTTCGGCACAGTTAGGAACTGAAGAGTTAAAACCAGAAGGAAACCATCTTACTAAGCCTGTTTGTTCTCAACAATTCCACACTTCTGTAAAGACAATCATACTATGTGAAACTCAAAAACCTAGAATTCTGCACAGTGGAAAGGCTTACTAGTGATCATAAATGAACATTGTAAAGATATTCTTGGATGATGTGTGAATACTAGACTGTACAGCTGTTAAAAAGGATGTTATCTATTATGAGTTAATGGAAACAAAGACCAAGCAAATTTGTTGTGAGGTTGTCAAAAAACTCAAGCTCTAGTTTTGTTTATAAGGTAGTCCAAGCTAACACAGCTGGAGGCCAAAATGCTATACAGTCTGTGTTTAGGACAGAGAAGAAAGTGATTATTTTGTCAGGTGGCTTCCTAGTAATTCTTCTTTTATTGTTCTTATATCTGCATAGTAATTCAGGTTTCAGAGAATTTAGTAAAGATATTTTCTTGGACACACTGCTACTAAAATACCTCTTTATCAAATGACAAATGGTAAAACTGCCCATAATGGGCAGTAGACAGGTTCCTGTAGATGTAGATTCATCCTTCCAGACTACTTTCCCACCAAAGCAACAGGTAAAATTTTGTGGACTGCTCTAGTTAGAAAAGGAGAAACAGCAAAGACCCAGTAGGCTCCTTGCCTACAGCACCAAACTGCTTTCACTCACTGCTTTATTAATAACCCCCATTCCAGGTGTTCCCAGGTCCTTGCCCTCACACATTTATCTAAGCCATCTTTATTTCTGTTCCTATTGTTGGGGTCTCTGTTGCCTTGTCTTGCCTACTAACCCCACACTTCTACTCAAAAAATGAAGTCAAGCCCCTCAGAACATTCTAATTCTGATTAAACTGGT